GTTATGACAGAACAAATCATTGCAGAAACGGCTACTGATGCAACAACACCATATTGCAATGAGATGAAATGTAGTTTAGGTAATCCATTTTGTCTTCAATGCTGTAATGCAGAAGGATATGCTGGTGGTGAATGTGTGAAATCTGGAACTTCTTATCACTGTCAATGTACAAAAAACCAAAAGGTTATATTGTTTCAATGATTATGATAAATGTTACAGTAAAAACGGATGGTTGAAATTACCATTTAAGTAGAATAAAAATGGTAGGTGTTTTGAGTTTTAGATCATCACTTCATCCATGATAATGTTATATTTTCTTTACTCTTTACCTGTTACTACTATAATCCAGATCCCTTAATCAAACAAATTGTCAATTAAACAAATTCATGCAATATTTAATTATTTTTTAAAATTTATATTTAATAAATAAAAATTATTATATAATTAAAGGTATATTTTGTAAAAAACAAATATAATTTTTTTTTTTAAGAGAGATCCTTATGATCATTCTTGACTCTCCTATTAACCATTCAATGTATCAAAAGTGTATTATCATTTTAAAACAACTATAGGTTTATACAAAATCTCACAGTGGGAACTTTGTTGACAAACAAGTATCTAAATAAAACACTTTGTATATTATCACTTGATGTGTTTGCAATGAGTGATACATGTTCAATTGATAGGTCTTTGGATATGACCTCTCAACTACATGCATTTAATACAACTACTACCTTTCAACTACATATATTTAATACAACCACTATCTCTCAACTACATACATTCAATATAACTACCACCTCTCAACTACTACCTCTATAACCACTACCTCTCAACTACATGCATTTAATGTTTACCTAACAAAATCCCCCCCATAAACTTAAATGTTTTTCTTGTCCTTCATTCCAAGCATCTTCTTGTTGTTCTCGAACAGAGTGGTTGACAGTGACTTCGTGAACATATCTGCACCTTGTGTCCCTTCACTACGAGTCGAGCTTTATATCGCTCAACTTCTCCTTCAACATTTGTCTTCTTCTTGTATATCCACTTTATGCCGATAGGTCGCGCTCCTTTGGGCAAATCAGTCAGCTCCCATGTGTTGTTGCGTTCTATTGCCCCGATCTCCTCGTCCATTGCATTTTTCCACCTTTTCTCCTGCACGGCCTCTTCAAAACTTAAGTCTTCTAAAACTGCCAAAAGACATACAACATGCACTTCGTCAGTGGAGTTGTATATATCTTGTAAACTTCGCGCTCTGGGCTGTAGAGGTTCATCTTCTTCATCAGAAGTCTCATGATCTCTCACAATATGTGGTGTATCAACTTCCGAGCTTCTACTTCCTATGGACTCCTTCTCCGGGTTGTTCCAACTCCACTCGCTTTCTTCATCAATTTGAACATCTCGGCTCATGATGACCTTCTTAGTTATTGGGTTAAACAACCTATACGCCTTGATTTTTTCATCATACCCAATAAACACGTACTTTTTGCTTCTATCTTCGAGTTTGGTCCTCTGTTGAGCTGGAACATGACCATAAACTAAGCTACCGAACACTTTAAGGTGAGACACACTTGATTTTCTTCCACTCCAGACTTCTTGCGGTGTCTTCTCGTTCAGCTTAGCATGTGGACATCTATTTTGCACATAGATGGCACATTGCACTGCTTCTGCCCACAACTCCTTTGACACGTTTTTGCTTCTCAACATTATTTGAACCATGTCAAGAATGGTTCGATTCTTCCTCTCGGCAACTCTGTTTTGTTGGGCTGAGTATGGTGCTGTCAGAAATCTCCTTATCCCTTGCTCCTCGCAATACTTCATGAGTTCGGATGAAATGAACTCGCCTCCTCGATCAGACCTAACAGATTTGATAGGCATGTCAGTCTCTTTCTCAACCATTGCTTTAAATCTCTTGAACACCTCAAACACCTCATATTTCTCCTTCAAAAAATATACCCAGGTTTTTCTTGAAAAATCATCTATAAAAGAAATGAAATACCTTTTCCCACTGAAGGACTCAGGGGTAACCGGTAGGGATGACAAAACGGGTTAGGTCCGGTGGGCCAGCCCGCCATAATATGGCGGGGTGGGTTGGTGTTTTCAGCCCACCAGCCCGTTTTGGCCCGCCCCGCCAAGCCCACCAACCTGTCGGGCCAACCCGCGGGACTGGGCGGGCCGGCCCGTGGCCCGCCTAATTAATAAAAAATTATTTTTTTATTGTAATAAAATTAATTATAAAAATAATATATAAAGTTAAAAATTTTAAAAAGAGAATTAAAAAAAGTTTTATTCTCACGAGAAAATATTCTCCTTCTTGAAATATAATTTTCTCTTCGTTCTCCTTATTTATCCTAAACATTGATTATATTTATCCTTATTACTTGAATTAAAGGTATAAGAATTACTCAACCAAGAATAATATGAAGTTTTATCAAATAAAAAAGATATAAGTATTTGAATTTTTCAATATAAAAAATATAAATTTTATAAGTTTAACGTTATTTATTTATATATATATATATTTGTTATTATTTATTATTGTGTAAATTTTATTATTGTTCTAAATTATAATTTCTTAAAATAATGTATTGATTTATATTATTAAATTGAAATAATATTTATATATATATATATATATATATATATATATTGAATTATTGACAAACAAATAATAATCTTATTATTAAATTTATTTAAAAAAATTATTTTAAAAAAATTATTTAAAAAAAATTATTTTTTCTAAAATACAGTGGGCCAGCCCGCCAACCCGCCTCTTGGCGGGCGGGCCAAGGTCTACAGCCCGTCATGACTATACCCCGTCCCGCTTTTGACGGGCCAAAGGCGGAGCGGACCAAAACGGGGCGGGCTGACCCGTTTTACCATCCCTAGTAACCGGTCCACAAATATCTGTGTGAATCAATCCGAGTTGTTCCTTTGTACGGTACTCGGCTGTCCTCGGAAATGAGGTCCTCAGATGCTTCCCGAGCACACACTCTTCACAAAATTTCTTTTTAAATTCCATAGACGGGAGTCCTCGCACCATCTCTTTCTTTATCAACTTGATCAGCCCGCCAAAATGCAAGTGGCCAAAACGAAAGTGCCACATCATTGCTTCATCCTTCATGTCAATTTTCAAGCACCTCTCTTGGACTATCTTCAAGTCCAGCTTGTACATTTTGTTCTTCTTCATTTCTACTCGGGCAATCAAACGATCTGACTTGTCCTTCAAGTATAGTACTCTGTCTTTCATCAAAATCAAATAGCCTTTCTCCATCAGCTGACCCATGCTCAATGTGTTGTTTTTGAGATCGGGTACATAGTACACGTCTCTGATTTCTCCAACTCGGCTATTCTTCTGCAAGTACCAGATTGTACCTCTGCCTTTTACTGCCACCTTTGATGCATCTCCAAATGACACGTGTCCGACCTCAACTTTAGTGAGCTTCTTAAAAAGGTTCTTGTCCCCACACATGTGGTTATTTGCTCCTGTATCAAAATACCAAACCGAGTTGTCAGAACAACTTGGACTTAGCTCGACATCCGAACTTCTCGACATCATCAATACTCCTTCTTCCTCAGTGTCCTCAGAGAGGAGGTTTGTCTCCTTCTTCTTCTCAGATCGGCAATCCTTCGCGAAATGCCCAACCTTCCCACAATTATAACATTTGATACCTGAATAGTAGTCTTTAGCAAAATGACCGTACTTCCCACATTTGAAGCACTCAACTCCAGAATTGCTTGATTGACCACCTCGGCCTCTACCGTCACGACCTCTACCTTGTCTTCGGCCACGCCAGTTTTGTTGACTGACTTGCTCCTTGCCTCTTTCATATTCTCCTCTGCCTCTACCACCTCTGCCTTGAGTGTTCTGAGTATAAGGAACCTTCTTCTCCTTTAAGGTTGCCTTTGCTTGGAGTGCTTGATCAAGGGACTCCTCTTTCTTCTTCCTTCTCCGTTGCTCATGCGCTTCAAGCGACCCGGCAAACTCTTCCACCGAGAGCACCGACAAGTCCTTAGACTCTTCTATTGCACAAACGATATTCTCAAAGTCGTTAGTTAACGACCTTAAGATTTTCTCCACCACTCGGCAAGTGGGCAGCGTCTCTCCATTTCTTCCGAGTTGATTCACCACGGTCTCAACACAGGAGATGTACTCGGCAACCCCTTCGACCTCTTTCATCCTCATACTTTCAAGCTCGCCTCTAAGAGTTTGAAGCCTGACTTGCTTCACGCGGTTATCCCCTTTATTTGCCTTCTCCAGAATATCTCATGCTTCTTTTGAAGATTTAGCATTTGCTATCTTCTCAAAGTCGGACTCATCAACAGCTCGATACAGTACGTGCAAAACTATTTTGTCCTTTACTCGTGTTGCTCTCAATGCAGCAAGCTGAGCAATCGTCTACTCTTCAATATTCTCTGGTTCTTGGTGCCCATTTTCGACCACATCCCATACTTCTTGGGAACCAAGGAGAGTCTTCATTTGCAGGCTCCAATTATCATAGCTTACACCTTTTGATAACTTTGGCAGGGGCATGCTGTTAGCTAAGTTGGTCATCTTGAACAAACTCTCTAACTCTCAAACACTCTCCCTAACGAACTCAGACACTCAGGCTCTCAAGCTCTGATACCAATTTGTTGACAAACAAGTATCTAAATAAAACACTCTGTATATTATTACTTGATGTATTTGCAATGAGTGATACATGTTCAATTTATAGGTCTTTGGATATGACCTCTCAACTACATGCATTTAATACAACTACTACCTTTCAACTACATATATTCAATATAATCACTATCTCTCAACTACATACATTCAATATAACTACTACATCTCAACTACTATCTCTATAATCAATACCTCTCAACTACATGCATTTAATGTTTACCTAACAAACTTAACAAAATCAGGAGAATCAGAAGCAGAGCAAGTTCTTTAAAAATGACAATCATTCTCAGTGTTAAAGTGAGGAATATTATGATCTCAATTGTGAACAACCTCAACATCTTCTCATCCTTTTTCCAGACCTGCACGCTGACCCTGACTCTTCCTCATCATCCTCTGAATGGCCAGTTTCTTGACTCTTTCCATCATCATCATCATCATCATGGAAGTAGTAGTCATCAGTCAACTCCTCCCACTGTGAATCGTGGTCCTTGTCCACCGAAGTTCCTTCAGGGCTGCTTTGTATGCCTAGTAAACGGTTCAACTCATGAACACTTCTGATTTTCCTATCATGCTCTAGATATGTGTCTTGCCATTTCAAACTTTGTTTCTTACTCCTTGCTGCATTAAATGTGTCAAGCCTTCGAACCAAATAGGAACAGGAACGTTGACTTGTGAACTGAATATCCTCCATGTTTGTCTCATGCTTGTACACATAAACTCCCCGTGAACACAGAATCATCTCTGTTTTACAGTAAATCTTTATGGTCTTCCAATCATTACCACCTCCAACACCTACATCCTCCCACTTCCCCAAACTGAACAAAACTCGTAGGTCACACAAAAACACATGATTCTCTGCCAGAGTGAAATTATTGTAGCGTCTGCGTTTACCCTCAACGAACAACTCCATGCCAACAGCTTGGTAATCAGCTGCAAATAGATCACTATCCTTGGCATTCACGTCCCTGAACACAAACGCTAAAGCAATCACAGGGAACTTCCCACGAGCCTTGATAACTGGATACCCTCCATTGTTAACATAGTCGAACCACTCTGGAATCTCCGTGTGTGGCATCTTCACTTTTAATCTCTTTATCTCTTTACGCACCTGCATCTCAAACATCCATCCCACAAAAACACAAAAAACAAAATCACAATGATTCATTCATTGTAAACTATGTTTGTGTTCTATTATTAGTCATCTTCTTTTTTTCTATGAATGGACAATGACTAAGATGTTTATTTGATCTATTTTTAGTCAAAGAATATATATTATTAACTATCAGCAAAAGTCGTGCTAGTAAACCTGACACCATAAGATGTTTGATGTCTGGGAAGTTAAGCATTTGCATTCTCTTGCATCTACTTTCTCAACACTTGATGGCAGCTCAGGAATTTTTCGAAGCTTCATACAATAACTCACGTCAAGACTTGTCAAGTGAGTACATTCTATGATGCGCGTTGGGAGTGACATAAATCTGTTCCATGCTACATTCAAGTCTTTCAAGTAAGGAAAATTATGAATGATAGTATGAAGATCTTGGTCTGATAGATTAGCATTGTCGAAACATAATGTCTCTAGTTTTGGGTATGCTGAATGGCTTCCTTGAAACCTTCTAAACGAGTCTCGAAGTCGACGACATCCTCCAATTTTTAATGTGACAAAATTTGGCAACATGAATAAGGTACTTGGTAATGTTGAAGTCCCTTGCAATCTGTCATGTCAAGATACTTAAGCCCAACGAGTTTTTCAATGGATTCTGGAAGCTCCTTAAGATCTGTATATGAAATATTAATCTCTAATGACTCATCCATGGTTCCATCGATCTTTGGGAAGTGTGCTAGTCTTGAGCAAAGTTCGAAGGAAAGGTATTGGAGAGATGGCAAATACATTGTTGGCACAAAACTTGGGAGTTGATAGCATCCTGAAGCACTTAGGAGAACTAGGTTAACCAGATAACCTGCTGATTTATGAATGCTAACCAGTTTCTGGCATCCATCAAGTCTTAGTTCTCTTAAATTCATGGCGCCAGACACATCAGGAAATTCAGTAACCATAGGACAATAGGAGATATTCATGTATGCCAAATACTGAAATGTCTGCAAAACATAATAGAATTTCTCATCTCTCTTTACAGGGTAAAAAATCAAGCCTTTAAAACACTAGAAAAATAGGAGATAATTTGCACATCATAAATATCTAGGATATTACAACAACAATCATCTGCGAGATTAGATCAAGCAATTGTACCTGAAATGGCTTTTCTAGCACGAGTAGAGGACTTCCACTTAAATTAAAGGATCCAATTTTCCTGGGATAAAAACCTGAAGGGAAAGACTGTGAAGGATATTTCCAATCAAGAAGCCTTAAATTATTTGGGAGAAAACTCGGCTCAAGTGAAAAGCTTGAGTTGCAAACAATGAGAATTCTGAGATTCTTCATCTTTTCAAATACAGTATCAACAACACAAGTAATTTCTTCTTCTCGTTGATGCCCATCAAGCATTATTCCTTGAATTTTGCTACTTCCCTTTAAATCAATAACATGTGACATTCAAAATTTATAATTTAAACACAAACTAAAATGGTTAAAGTTGATGAAAGAATCAAGAACAGCATTCTCACATTATCATCAAGTAGTACTTGAAGAACATCTTCATGATTCCATAATCTGCTGCGTTCGCCAACTTCATTCCACGCTTCCTCCTTAACAATTTCTCTGCCCATTGCTTGCATTAGGTCATGCATCCCTAAGCAATTGTTGTCAATACTTAACAAAGATTTATTGACTAGTGTTGTGATACCATCTCCTGAGCTGAAGTCACACGCATCTAGTACTCTCCTTATGTATTCCAATCTATGTCCTTTGAAGAAGCACGCGATATCAAGAAATATATTCTTCTCATTGGGAGCAAGACTATCATAGCTTATTCTAAGAACTTTTTGGACATCTTCATGTGGACTCTTTTCATATCTATCAAGTGCATCCTTCCATCCATCAAAATCTTTTCCAACCAAATGAGAGCCCAGCACATTTAAGGCCAATGGAAGGCCTTTGCAACATCGCATTGCACGATTGGACAGATATTCATAGTTTGTTTCAGGAAAGCTTTTTCTGAAGGCACTCTGACAGAAGAGTTCTAGAGACTCTTGGTCGTTTAGCACTTTCACTTCATATCTGTTGTTAACCTGACCAAGATCTAGCAAATGTTTATCTCTTGTGGTTATGATGATCCTACTCCCATGACCAAACCAAACTTCTCTCCCTATCAAATTATTCAACTGTTCAATGTTATCAACATCGTCGAGAACTATAAGAACTCTTTTAAAGCCAAGTCTACTTTTTATTGTTTTGATTCCATCTTCAGTACTTCTCAACTTAATTTTGCTGACCTCAAGTATATCTGTTAGAAGCCTTTCTTGCAGATGTTTTAATCCCTTAATTTGATTTTAGCTTTCTCTGACGTGGGAGAGAAAACTTGAACCCTCAAACTTATTGTAAACGGAGTCGTACAAAGCTTTGGCAAGTGTGGTTTTTCCAATTCCACCTGTTCCATGAATCCCCAACAGGCAAGTGATATTATGATTCTCAAGATCTAGAAGTGATTTCAATTCTTCAACTCGATCCTCCCGTCCTACTATATGCTCATCACTTGACAAATCTTTAGGAGATAATTTAATGAAAATCTTGCTAACAAGATCATCAATAAACTTGGATTCGTCCCTCCTAACAGCATTGAACTAATCATCAAATTCATTTTACCAAATTATACAAACACACACATACATAAAGAGAAAGTACGTATATACTACGAAACTAAGGATTCATAAACTGCAGTTATAAGTAGTGAAAGCTTAACATCTATGTAACCTACCCTTCTACCAAATTTTCTCCTTCACTACAAGAAATATTAAAATTACCGACGGTCAAAATCCGTCGGTAATAATTTTATTAATTATTAAATATTTTACTTATTTATAACATTATTTTTTTTATAAAACCACTTCCCCTTATATTCTTATTATTTATTATTTCAATTATTTCTCCATATTATATTTTTATAACTTTGAATTATTGTCGGATTAAGAGAAATGTCATTAGCGGGATTCGAACCTAATACCTTAGAGTCGAAGGTCGATACTCCAACCACTAAGCTACTAGAATTTCTTGATAACAATTTACAAATAAATTATATTTATATACAAATATACAAATACATTTATATATATTTATATATATTTATATACATTTATATATATTTATATATATTTTTTTATATATTTTTATATATTTATATATATTTATATATATTTATATATATTTATATATATTTATATATATATTTATATACATTTATATTTATATTTATATATATTTATATATTTTTATATTTTATATTTATATATTTTTATATTTTTATATTTTATATATATATATATATATATATTTATATATAATTAAATATTTATTTTTAAAATTACTTAATTTAATAAATTATTATAAATTAATCTAATTATGATTAAATTAAATTATTAAATAAAAAATATTTTATTTTTTAATTAGTGAATAATTAAATTATATTATATAATTTTACCGACGGATTTATCCGTCGGTAAATAATTTTTAATTTACATATGAATTTACCGACGGATATATCCATCGATAATTACTTGTTAATTTATCGATGGATTTACCGACGGATATATCCGTCGGTAAATTCATCTATAAATTACCGACGGATTTATCGACGGATATATCCGTTAGTAACTAATTATTATTTTACCGACGAATATATCCGTCGGTAACATCAAATTTCACAAATATTTTATATCCGTCGGTAAATTCCGTCGGTAATGATTATTTTCCGACGGCTACAATTCCGTCGGTAAATATCCGTCGGTAATACGCGATTTTCTTGTAGTGCTTTCAAGTTGGCAATGTGAGTCAAGGTTGACCTCCATTGGAGCACCTTCTCAGAGTCTTTCCCAAACCTTTTTTCATGCTTAGTCATGGCCTTAGCATAATTTCCATTCTGATGCCTCACGTCTGAGGGATCCACTTTGTAGAAGATGGGCCAAAGGAGCTGGTTTTTTGACTTCATACACTCGTGTATCTTGACAAGTTCATCAAGGCACCATGAAGAATCTGCATAATTTTGAGAGAAAACAACCACTGAGATCCTTGATTCTTGAATGGCTTTGAGAAGCGCAGGAGCAATATGGTCTCCAAGCTGAAGTTCCCCATCATCCATGAAGGTGGGAATTCCCTTCCGGCACAAAGCATGATAGAGATGAGAAGTGAATGTGTGACGGGTATCTTCACCACTAAAGCTAAGGAAAACGTCATACCTACACTGGCTTTCAGTTTCAGACATTGCACCATCATTTGTCATCATTGCAAAAGCACTGGACTGCGAACATAATATTCTATTGGGAATATGTGTTAGGTAAACATTAAATGCATGTAGTTGAGAGGTAGTGGTTATAAAGGTAGTAGTTGAGAGGTAGTTGTTGTATTGAATGTATGTAGTTGAAAGGTAGTAGTTGTATTAAATGCATGTAGTTGAGAGGCCATATCCAAATGGCCTATAAATTGACCATGCATCACTCATTGCAAATATATCAAGTGATAATATACAGAGTGCTTTATTTAGATACTTGTTTGTCTACAAATTGACATCAGAGCTTGAGAGTCTGAGTGTCTGAGTGCGTTAGAGAGAGTGTTTGAGAGTTAGAGAGTTTGTTTGAGATGGCCAACTTAGCTAACAGCATGCCCCTACCAAAGTTATCAAAAGGCGTAAGCTATGATAACTGGAGCCTGCAAATGAAGGCTCTCCTTGGTTCCCAAGAAGTATGGGATGTGGTCGAAAATGGGCACCAAGAACCAGAGAATATTGAAGAGCAGACGATTGCTCATCTTGCTGCATTGAGAGCAACACGAGTAAAGGACAAAACGACTTTGTACGTACTGTACCGAGCTGTTGATGAGTCGGCTTTGAGAAGATAGCAAATGTTAAATCTTCAAAAGAAGCGTGGGATATTCTGGAGAAGGCATATAAAGGGGATAATCGCGTGAAGCAAGTCAGGCTTCAAACTCTTAGAGGCGAGCTTGAAAGCATGAGGATGAAAGAGGTCGAAGGGGTTGCCGAGTACATCTCCCGTGTTGAGACCGTGGTGAATCAACTCGGAAGAAATGGAGAGACGCTGCCCACTTGCCGAGTGGTGGAGAAAATCTTAAGGTCGTTAACTGACGATTTTGAGAATATCGTTTGTGCAATAGAAGAGTCCAAGGACTTGTCGGTGCTCTCGGTGGAAGAGCTTGCCGGTCGCTTGAAGCGCATGAGCAGACGGAGAAGGAAGAAGAAAGAGGAGTCCCTTGATCAAGCACTCCAAGCAAAGGCAACCTTAAAGGAGAAGAAGGTTCCTTATGCTCGTAACACTCAAGGCCGAGGTGGTAGAGGCAGAGGAGAATATGAAAGAGGCAAGGAGCCAGCCGCTCAACAAAACCGGCGTGGCCGAAGACAAGGTAGAGGTCGTGACGGTAGAGGCCGAGGTGGTCAGCCAAGCAATTCCGGAGTTGAGTGCTTCAAATGTGGGAAGTACTGGTCATTTTGCTAAGGACTCGCTATTCGGTATCAAATGTTATAATTGTGGGAGGTTGGGCATTTCGCGAAGGACTGCCGATCTGAGAGGAAGAAGGAGACAAACCTCCTCTCTGAGGACACTGAGGAAGAAGGAGTATTGATGATGTCGAGAAGTTCGGATGTCGAGCTAAGTTCGAGCTGTTCTGACAACTCGGTTTGGTATCTTGATACAGGAGCAAGTAACCACATGTGCGGGGACGAGAACCTTTTTAAGGAGCTCACTAAAGTCGAGGCCGGACACGTGTCATTTGGAGATGCATCAAAGGTGGCGTAGAAGCGCGAGGTACAATCTGGTACCTGCAGAAGAATAGCCGAGTTGGAGAAATCGGAGACGTGTACTATGTACCCGATCTCAAAAGCAACATATTGAGTATGGGTCACTGATGGAGAAAGGTTACTCTGCTTCGATGAAAGACCGAGTACTATACCCGAAGGACAAGTCGGATCGTTTGATTGCCCGAGTAGAAATGAAGAAGAACAGAACGTACAAGTTGGACTTGAAGATAGTCCAAGAGAGGTGTTTGAAACTTGACGTGAAGGATGAAGCAATGATGTGGCACTTTCGATTTGGCCACTTGCATTTTGACGGACTGACCGAGTTGGTAAAGAAAGAGATGGTGCGAGGACTCCCGTCTATGAAATTTGAAAAGAAATTATGTGAAGAGTGTGTGCTCGGGAAGCATCCGAGGACCTCATTTCCGAGGACGGCCGAGTACCGTGCAAAGGAACAACTCGGATTGATTCACACAGATATTTGTGGACCGATTACCCCCGAGTCCTTCAAGTGGGAAAAGGTATTTCATTTCTTTTATAGATGATTTTTCAAGAAAAACCCGGGTATATTTTTTGAAGGAGAAATCCGAGGTGTTTGAGGTGTTCAAGAGATTTAAAGCAATGGTTGAGAAAGAGATCGGCATGCCTATCAAATCTGTTAGGTCTCGATCGAGGAGGTGAGTTCATTTCATCCGAACTCATGAAGTATTGCGAGGAGCAAGGGATAAGGAGATTTCTCGACAAGACCATACTCACCCCAACAAAACGGAGTTGCCGAGAGGAAGAATCGAACCATTCTTGACATGGTTCGAACAATGTTGAGAAGCAAAAACGTGCCAAAGGAGTTCTAGGCGTAAGCAAGTGCAATGTGCCATCTATGTGCAAAATAGATGTCCACATGCTAAGCCGAACGAGAAGACACCGCAAGAAGTTTGGAGTGGAAGAAAACCGAGTGTGTCTCACCTTAAAGTGTTCGGTAGCATAGCTTATGGTCATGTTCCAGCTCAACAGAGGACCAAGCTCAAAGATAGAAGCAAAAAGTACGTGTTTATTGGGTATGATGAAAAAACCAAGGCGTACAGGTTGTTTAACCCAATAACTAAGAAGGTCATCATGAGTCGAGATATTCAAATTGATGAAGAAAGCGAGTGGAGTTGGAACAACCCGGAGAAGGAGTCCATAGGAAGTGGAAGCTCTGAAGTTGATACACCACATACCGTGAGAGATCATGAGACTTCGATGAAGAAGATGAACCTCTACGACCCGTAGCGCGAAGTTTACAAGATATATACAACTCCACCGACGAAGTGCATGTTGTATGTCTCTTGCGTATTCGAAGACTTAAGTTTTGAAGAGGCCGTGCAGGAGAAAAGGTGGAGAAAGGCAATGGACGAGGAGATCGGAGCAATAGAACGCAACAACACATGGGAGCTAACCGATTTGCCCAAAGGAGCACGACCTATCGGCGTAAAGTGGGTGTACAAGAAGAAGACAAATGCTCGAAGGAGAAGTTGAACGATATAAAGCTCGACTCGTAGTGGAAGGGGTACAAGCGTAAAGAAGGAATAGACTATGACGAAGTATTCGCCCCAATGACGAGAATGGAAACAATTAGGTTGTTGATTTCCTTAGCGAGCTCAACACAGCATGGACCATCTTGCGGATGGACGTAAAGTTGGCATTTCTAAATGGAATCTTGGAGGAGGAAGTATATGTTGAACGACCACTCTGGATACATGCGAAGAGAAGAGAAGAAAGTGCCGAGATTGAAGAAGGCACTTTATGGCTTGAAACAAGCTCCACGAGCATGGAATGAAAGAATTGACACTTACTTCAAAAGGAATGGATATGAGCAAGTGTCCTTATGAACATGCTCTATACATAAAGAAGAAAGGAGAAGATGTGATGTTTGTTGCCCTATATGTTGATGATCTTATCTTCATGGGAAATAATGCCGAGCTAATTGAAGAGTTTAAAGAAGTGATGAAGAAGGAGTTTGAGATGACCGACTTGGGTCTTATGAAGTATTTTCTTGGCTTAGAAGTTGTTCAGTGGAAAGGATGACATCTTTGTGTCGCAGAAAGGTATGCTCGAGGAGATCTTGAAGAAATTTAAGATGACAAGTTGCAACCCGGTTTCCACCCCTATGGAACCCGGTACAAAACTTTCTAAGTATGCAGATGGAGACCGAGTTGATGCAAGCAAATACCGAAGTCTCGATTGGAAGTCTTAGGTATCTTACAAATACTGCACTGCATTTAATGCTAAGTGTTGGAATAGCAAGTCGATATATGGAGGAGCCAAGGTATACTCATTGGAAGGCACTAAAGAGAATTCTAAGGTATGTGAGAGGAACAAGTGTCACTTGGCCTAATGTATACTAGGACGGATGATTATCGACTAATAGGCTACTCTGATAGTGGACCGGTGTGGAGATGTTGATGACCTGAAAAGTACGTCTGGATATGTATTCTTCATGGGAAACAAAGCATTCACCTGACTTTCAAAAAAGCAGCTCATTGTAACGTTGTCAACTTGTGAAGCCGAGTACGTTGCAGCATCCTGGAGTGTCTGTCATGCAGTTTGGCTTAGAAACCTTCTAAGCAAGCTGGAGTTGAAGCAAGAAAGAGGGATTGTGATTCGAGTTGATAACAAGTCGGCCATTGAATTGGCAAAGAATCCGGTCAATCATGAGAGAAGCAAACATATTGATGTTCGGTTTCACTTCATCCGAGAACAAGTGAAAGATGGAAATGTGGAGTTAGAGCACGTCGGAACCCGAACACAAGCTGCACATATGTTCACGAAGCCACTGTCAACCACTCTGTTCGAGAACAACAAGAAGATGCATGGAATGAAGGACAAGAAAAGCATTTAAGTTTATTGGGGGATTTTGTTAGGTAAACATTAAATGCATGTAGTTGAGAGGTAGTGGTTATAGAGGTAGTAGTTGAGAGGTAGTTGTTGTATTGAATGTATGTAGTTGAAAGGTAGTAGTTATATTAAATGCATGTAGTTGAGAGGTCATATCCAAAGGGCCTATAAATTGACCATGCATCACTCATTGCAAATACATCAAGTGATAATATTTATTTAGATACTTGTTTGTCTACAATATGAGCTTTCCTTGAACTATTCACATCCCAGTACAAGGAAAAAAAAAAAAAACCTTCAACTAAAAGAGTTTAAAATAATGAAAACGTGTATGACTTTAGTTTGTACAACTCATAAAGCAGTGTAAAATAATGAACCATGCCTTATGAGTGCACGACCTGCAAAGTTTAATAAAAACACTTCTTGATCATGTTCATACAAAAAGAGTAAAGTCTTGTACGTTTTGCCTTTATATATCTATTGAAACAGTTTATATTTTTGACATGATATGCATACACCTGCCAATAATTCTCTTTCGGTCTATTCAAGTGCATGTGAATAGATGATAAAATGGGTTAACTCTTCAAATTAACTGAGGGATGATA